ATATGTATCCTATTAAATAACTACTAAACTATTCGTTATTGCCTGCATGCTGGAAAGTCGTGTACAAGGTAAAAATAAATCTATAATGAGAAATGCGTTAAACGAAAATATATGGCAGAATCTGTAAAAAGCTGAAGGCAAACTAATTACAATAATATTTTGTACAACTTTCTAGCACTAAGGCGACATTTGTATTATATAAATGTGCATAGAACGTAACATATTTTTTTTTGTAGCTGAACTAAAGTACATTGATGTTCATGCGTGTAAAACAACGATTTAATTTAAATATAACAGAACGTGCATAGTTAAATATTCAATGCGGATATTCTGACATGGGGATCACTATTACAGTACAATTAAGACATTATAAAAGTATAATATTACGTTACACTGAATAAACAACAGAAATATTCAAATACAAAATATTATTAACTACATTTGTACACTGCTTGAAGGTTTATGTATTATGTTCAAAGATCGATTTTACATGAATTCCATACAAAATGTAAAAAAAAGAAAATGTCCATGTGATGAACTGTGGGAAATCGTACAGACTTCTTCAAGCAGAGCTAGCATAAAACTCCAATAATTTGATGAAGAATTAAATAAATAAGTTTTAAATGACGCAGGCATTTACAATACATACTTGTTAGTCACTATAAGCATGGAATGTTAGACATAATAAAAACAAGTATATAAATTATAAAATTATATGGTATAAAAGGTACAAGTAGAAAATCAGTTTCTTATTTATCGTAACTTTACTGCCTTCTGTCACATTGGAACATTAAAGTTGGTCTATCAAATGTTACGAATTGCTCACAAATAATGTTCAGGACTAAAAAGAACTAATATAATGGTTGAGCATTATCTTAAAATATCGGCTAACGCTACGAAATAAGGTGAAATCAATGTATTTTAAACATTAGCTGCCAGCATATAACAACTAAACTTACAAGACAAAATGCAGTTCGCACGTAGATGGTCAATGATTATCCTTTGCTCCAGATAAACTATGATGACTCTATATATTATTATCGTACAAGTTAATATTATCAAAACCTCAAAGAAATTACTCTTACTCTCGATGAGATACATTGAACGTAAACAGCTAAAATCTATCGTTTCTCCGAAACTGATAAATGTATAAAAATTTGATTGAGTTACGTTCATGTAAAAGGTAGAAAAGTAAAAAAGATTAGTTTATAATTAATACGTGAAAATATCATTTATCATTATAAAATAAATGCTTTGTGCAGAATGCCAGCGTTAATATATATTAACAGGTATCTAAATGATGCTTTGGAGAACAAAGGTATAAACAAGCCTCCTACGGTGAGATATGCATATCTTAATGCTCTTTTACAATTGTCGCATGTACAATATACATATTATTCATACATAAATATATGAAGCTGCGATACCGTTCTAATATTTATAAATTTATGTATTTATGTATAATTTTATTTTTCAAAAAAAAAAGGGTGATTTTTAAATCTGAATAATTTTATTGTAGATTCAGGTTATCAGCCTTTTCTCAATCTTAGCATAATTCCTCGCGTTTCATAAAAAAATTAAATAAACTATTGAATAAACGAAACCTTATTTGACATTGTAGTCTTACAACTACAAAAGTTACAGCTAAATTTAGACACATACGCTGACCAATGCATCATAGCTCTTGGTGTGAAGTTACATACATATAATTTATCATCTTATCGGTATGTATTACTAATCATTTTTATCGTCCATCAAGTATATCATTCAAGAATATCTACACAGTTTCCAGATGCATATTTTAAATTATTAAATAGAAGTGTATATAACAGCAACGCGAATAATATGTATTTTCTTTTCTGTTTTACATTGCTGATAATAATACTTTATGTCGCAGGAAACTTTGTAGATTTCTAATATTTTTCGTCAAATAATCATAAGTATTTATGTGTACATTTATGTATAATATATATATAGATATATGTATATATGCATATATACATATATGTATATTTTGTATATATTAATATTTTATATGTAAAGGACTTTGACTTTGTCACACAATAAACATTACGTAATATCGATTAAAAAAAGAAATTATGTTACAAATAATTAAAGTGTAAAAAAAGTATTGCGTAAAAGCTACATTTAAATTCTAACTCGCATGAAAGCGATATCGGAAAAGATTCTTGTGTGCCGGTCACTTATGTACTATATACCTTTCACCATTACTTTTCATATATTCAGTTTGGAATAATTCTTTTGTATCAACAGATTCATAGAATTCCATTACGTATGTTAGAAACGCTTGTTATAATGTTTGTTTGTATTTTGTTAGACATACACGGTTTATAATGGTTGTATATTTCATCTTTGTATTAATAATATATTTTAAATATCTTCGACTTCACAAAACACTTTGTAACTGCAATATTTTTTTTTAAAGATATTTTCGTTCTTCATTATATATTAGGCTCATGGATGTAGTTTTAAAAATAGAAATTTATATCGAAACGGAAAGCAGATCCGCAGAAGAATTAAAGAAGAAACGATTAAGCTTAGCGCTGGTAATGTTATCGAGTATAATATTGAACAAATTCTTGTATAAGTGACGAAATATATTTGTCACAAGACACACGCTGTGTGTGTGTGTGTGTATGACTTTGCTTCCTGTTAAACGGTAATGTAAGTTTATAGGGCACTCTGTCTTATCTTCGTAACTATGAACAGACCATCTTTTGTTTACGTACATATATGACTATGTATACATAATATGTATAATATATATTTATGCTTTGCGTATGTAAACGATACATACTCTGAATATGAACACTGGAGTTTATGGTACAGGGTACCTTGACTTTACTTCTCATTTAAAAAGAGAAACATCATCGATGTTTCTTTTTTTCTCTTGTAATTCACTTGATTTTGAATCAAGTTCAAGCTCATGTTATTGGGCAACATTTGTCGTAAGAAATAATGTTTTCCAATCTTTACAAGAAAATATTAATTTTGACGATATAAATAATCAGTCCAAATTGTTCTTCGTGCATCATAGAAATGCATTTTAATATATCAACAGTGAATATCATTTTATTTCTCTATTCTTTAGATCTACCAGCATTATATCTTTTAGATAAAGAGTGCCCCCTATTTCTTACAAAATTGTTTTTCTATAAATTACTGCGCTGTTTGTTGTTGGATCTCTATTTTTTCAACAGTCATATCTGGATTCATCGCAGTGGCCTCTTGGATCGCCTCTGCCAAAGCTCGATCGTGATCGACTGGATCACCGTCCGATTGTATCGTTATTTTTTGTTCTACTCGAGTCTCTACAACCCCATCCCTTTCGGTTTTGTACTATAATCAGAATAAGGCACGTGTTTTTCATTTCACGTATCGCGCGAAATGTTCACAATGAAAATATAAAGTCTTACCGTTATTGTTTCAACAGTACGAGTTTTACTGGATATTGTTTGAGAACTGACTATTTCTCCTGTTGCGCTATACAAACCATCTTCGCTTTCAACGGCTACTTTCCTAGTTTCAGTTGTTACCAGTGGAACTGTGGCAGTAGCTGTCACATTATTCTCTGGTTCCCCTTTATAAACATTTGTCTCTGTTGTTATAACACCAGCTGGATCACTCTGAACAAAGTCAAACGATTACATTTATTTTGCACAGAAAATAGTAGCTCTAAACGTTTGACATATATCATTGTAATATACAAATAATAAATGATGTGCTAACGGACATAGACGATAAAACATGAACCAACGTTTTATTAAAATACCGTAAGTTTATTGTTATTTTCCGGGAATATTAATTCGTAGTACCTTAAAACCAGTGCCTTTAAGATGATGAAATATTACACTTTTAGGCTGTTTCGTGAATGTTATTCTTTAATGTCCCATAAATGTTAACAAATGAGCATCAATATGAAATAAGTAATTATGTATGTGATGATGTAAACGATATGGTTTCAATCAATTCAATCAGCAGTACCATAGGAACAAGCGTTATAACTTTCATCCACTTTAGAAACATTTCTAACGTATGTTATGTCGCAATGAGAAACGTGAATAGTATGTAGGCATATATACCTGAATGCGGATCCACTTGGAACGCATTTTCGAAACTGTATCTCTACGTATTCTCGCACGAATAAAAATTCTTTTTGACGGTTTCTGATAATTGCCTAACAAAATTATACGATCCTTGAAGATTTACCTGATAATATTGATTGTAGAAAGCCTGCTGATCATCTTCAAGGTCAATTGGAGTACCTGAATCATCGCTGCTTGAACTGGATGTACTGAGCCTTCGTGAGAACAGCTACACCATGCAATGTGTTAACCAAGCCGGCAAAAATTAATTACAAAAATAAATGAAAAAAAAAATAATTAAACGTAGCATGGGTTAAACTTAATCAATTAATCAGCATTATGAATGATTCTGATATTACTGGTATTACTGATCATAAAATTAACAAGTATTTCAATGTATGTGCAGTGTGATCGTGTATTAGAGTAGATGGAACACTGAAAATAGTTTTAGTTTCAACTTTCGTGTATCTGAATGTATAAAATAACTCGTTTTTAATGATCTCCTGTTAGTATTAACCAAAAATATGATATACAGTGTTTTACGTAAATGCGTACATGCTTCAACCATTAGTTGTGAGCTATGTATGCCGTTATGAAACTTCAAAATTTGCACCATTACCTGTTCACCAGAAAGAACGTGACTCGTTGTTCGAACTTCTTGCGTTACTACTCTCTGCTCTTGCCGTGTCGCGCTGGTTGCAGTTGTATGTGCTACAGTCTTTTCTTCTACCTAATATGACAAAAAAAATTATAAAAAAAGTCGTACTAGCGCTATAAGAAGAATATCGCATATATTGTACGGAGGTAATTAAAGTGTTCGCAAAATAGGCAATGAGTAAGCATAGCGCGATAAACCATTTTTACAAACCTGACTCGTTTTTTGATTTTTTTCAAGGTCCTCGTGCATTGTAGCGGTACGTGTGGTAACAGCGGTTGCTGTCATGTACGGGGCTCTACCATCATCTGATGCCTCTGCCTAAATACAACTACAAGGTGACTAATGTCTTATAATAACAGAACAATGTGTGCATACAGAATTATCAAGAAATACGAAAGTATTGATTCATTAATTTCTCTTTTTCCCTATGCACTGGTTTCAAGATAATCACTGGTTTTTATCTAGGCCACTTAAATCGCAACTTATATCAATAATACGCATACTGCATGCAATACACAAAAATACTCTACTACTAGAAATCGCATTGCAATATATACAATTATCAAACTAGTAAATACACTACAATCGATGTTATTCAAAGTAAAATTTCAGAAGTTCACAGCATTTGAACCGTATTTTGAAACAATAATAATAGGACCCATCCTGTTAAAAAATAATTCAAATAAATTTTGTTTCATTGATCTTTCCGTTGGAGTCGTTCTCATTACCTTTTGTGGGTAGTGAAATAATTAGTTACAAAATAGGATATTATTTTAAAAGTTAGATCACCTTATTAATCTGTGTAGAAACGGTTACTTGGCCTGTCCCTCCAGGTGTAAGATCTTCAATTTTCTCTTCGATATTTTGCGTCACGCCTTCTTGGTCCTTCACTACCGATTGTTTGGTTGTTGTCTTCACGATAGTCGGGGCAGTACTTGGAACTATAGGCTTCTTGACTTTCAAAGGAGCAGACTTCGTGGAATCTTGTATTTCTTTTAAAATAGAATCGCTATCCAATGGTTGTCCAGTGCCAGCGAATATCATGCCATCCTTCACAAATGCCCCTTCATCTCCAAAGATTTCTTGATTCAGCAGTTTCCCGAATTTGTCATGAATCTTGCCATCCTTAACATAGCTACCATCGCTTGAAAATGGCGCTTGCTTCACCGGTTTGCCATCTTTGTCGCAAAGCAAACCTTTACGTACTAAACTGATAGTAATAACAGTGAAATATTTGTCGAGAGGTTTGCCTACTGATGTACAAACAACGCCCTCTTTAATAATGTTGCCCTCGGAATCGAACGTCCCTTGCTTCAACGGTTTACCATTTTTATCGACCACAACTCCCTGTATCACTTTCAGACCTTCTGGACCAAATGCTTCTTGTGTAAGTGGCTGTCCATTTGTGTCATAAATCTTTCCATTTCTAATGAAACTGGTTTCCGGTGGTAGTACACCCTGTGACGCCGGCTTGCCATTGCTCCCATAAATAAGACCATCCTTAATAGAGCTTCCGTCATTTTTGTAAGAAGCTTGATTTAAAGGCTGACCAGTGGCATCATAAATTTTTCCATCTTTAACAACACTTCCGTTTGAATCAAAGTTACCATACTTCAATGGCTTGCCATCGTTACCACAAACCAATCCGTAACGTACAAGAGTGACAGTAATCACTGTTTGTTTTTTATTCAACGGTTTTCCACTTGCTTCGTGTAACAGGCCATTTTTTATATAACTACCATCGTTACCAAATGTCCCGTGACTAAGTGGCTTCTTGTTTTTACCATATATGAAGCCGTTAGTAATGTATCCTCCATCAGTACCGAATGAGCTATGATTTAAAGGCTGCTTGTCCTTTCCATAAATTCTACCTTCTTCTACGTAACATCCACTAGGCAGAGCAGACCCAGTATTCAATAACTGACCGCCCCATCCATACAAGAGACCATCTCTGATATAGCTACCATCAGGCTTAAATGCTCCTTGCTTCAGAGGACTCTGGTTTTTATCATAGACTACGCCATCTTGAATGTAACAGCCATTTGGAACAAGCGATGCCAAATTCTTAGGATTTCCTTGATTGTCAACGATTTTCCCGTCTTTCACTGCTAAATTATCCGGCCCTTTATCATCTTGGGTTAGGGGTTTACCATCTCTGCCAATGATCAAGCCATTTTTAATAATATTGCCGTCAGGCCCAAAGACACCATCCGAAATAATCCTACCATCTTTCCCATAAACCATACCACCAGCAGCGTATGAACCGTCGGATCCAAACATGTCTCTGTTCAAAGGCATACCATTCGAATCGAAGATTACACCATTTGCAATGTAATTATCTTCCGCAAGAGCTGAACTCTGGTTCAAAGGTTTACCGTCCAAGCCATACAGAATACCGTCTTTAATGTAACTTCCATCTGGTTTGAAGAAGGAAAACTTCAACGTCTTTCCATCCTTGGAACACAGTTTACCATCTTTAATGGATGCACCTTCGGGTACCAGTGAATCTTGATTCAAGGGTTTACCGCTCTTCGTGTGAACGGTACCCTTCTTTATGTAACTTCCACTGGAACCAAAAGATTCCTGCTTCACAGGTTTACCGTCCTTACCGATTACGCTTCCATTCTTTATGAGCATGCCATCCGGTCCAAGAGAAACGTCTGTCAGTGTCGCTCCGTTTGCATCGTAGATTATACCATCCTTAATTATGGTGTCATCTGGCTTGAAAAGATTTTGCGACAATGGTCGACCACTGGAGCTATATATAGTGCCTTCCTTTATGTAACTTCCATCGGCTATTAGAGGAATTTGACTTAGGGGTCTACCATCTTTGCCATATAAGATGCCGTCCTTAATAAAGCTTCCGTCTGGCTTGTAAAATGAATGTTTGATCGCTTTCCCATCTTTACCGACGACTTTTCCATCCTTCAAATGCGCCCCACAAGGTAGCAAAGACCCTTGATTCAAGAACTTTCCGTCTTTCGAATAAATTATACCATCCTTTATAACAGATCCATCTGAACTGAAAGATTCATGTTTCACCGGTTTACCGTCTTTCGAATAAACTTTTCCATCTGCAATGTAATGACCTTCGTGGCCCAGAATACCGTTACTAAGGGCGCTTCCCGATGGTCCGCAAATTAAACCATCACTGACAAAGGTTTTGTCAGGTATAAGTGCACTTTGACTCAAAGGCTTGCAGCTTTTGTCAAACACGACTCCGGCAACGATGTAGCTTTCGTTTATACCGTACGAACCTTGCGTGAGCGGCTTGGAATCGGCAGAAAATACAAGACCATCCTTCACGTACGTCCCATCGCTGCCTAATTTGCTATATTGCAGTGGTTTCCCATTTTTCATCGCTATTTTACCTTCTTTGACTAGTGTGTGGTCTGGTCCGAGTAGAAGCTGTTCAGCTATTTGACCGTCGCAACTATATATAAGGCCATCTTTTATGAAGTTCCTTTCAACTCCCAAAACTCCTTGGTTCACGGGCTTACCGTCTTTAGTGGTGACCATACCATTGTTAACGTACATCCCATGAGGACCAAAATCTGCCTTTTTAATCGGATGTCCATCTTTCGCACAGACCTTCCCACCTATTACTTTGCTATTATCTGGGCCAAGGCTATGTTGATCCAACGGTTTGCCATCTTTGGTATAAATAATACCACCGATTACTTTCGAACCGTCTGGTAGGGGCAAAACATGGTATTCCGGTTTCGATTCTGCGACTGATGGCGGAACAGCGCCAGCTTCGTAGTCAGCGCATTCTTGTTGCTGTTCAGCAGCGATCAAAGCTGCTGACGCGTCTTTGTCGAGTTCTGGTCCCGCAGCAGCTTTCTGTTGTTCTTTTAATCCCGCGGATTCCACGTAATTGAGACCCGGAGTCTTTAATCCGGCTGGCAGTTTAGTAGCATCTGCTTCTTTGGTTTTCCTCTTTTCCGCTGATTCCGCCACTTTCTTCTCCTCGCCAGGGGCATAATTAAATGCTAAACCCGTGGCTTTGCGGCTCGCAGCAGTCGGTGATTGTTGATTTTGTACTCCAGGTGAAGCCGGTCTGTCCTCGTACGAAAATCCATGCGGCGTGAACGGTTTCCTCGTCGGCGAAGTCTCTGTTTCTTCGTAATCGTACGGTTTCGTGTAACTAGGGAGCTGTGGAGATTCTGGGCTGGGCTTGGTCTTCTCGATATTTGACGTTTCAGTCAAAGGTTTCACTTGCTTCTCTAAAGTAGACAGATTCGATTCCGTGTCGCTCTTCTCCATGGATTCTTCCAGTTCCTTGTTCTTCTTTTGTTTCTTCTGCTTTGAATCCTTTTCCTTTTTGCCAAATAGGAAGCCACCGACGGGACTCTTTCATAGTAAACAAAAACATGCAATGCCAGAAACATGCCGTATGTCTAATGTATGTATATTCTTGTAAATATATAACAAAGGAAACTAATGAAGCTAAGAAGAAAACTACATATCGATGCATCGCTATTTTATATCTTACAAAAACAAACTAACAATCGTGCACATCTGTATTTGATCCACACATAAAGATGTACATGTACTCTTAATATATGGAATGCGTACTCGATATATCGCACAGATAGACTATCTTATGCTTAAGATGTGGGATCTCATTGAAATTATCGTTTAAAAATGAATATCCTGTTATGCGAACGAACGTAACTAAGTTTCTTTCTCTAATCGTAACACGCTAACAGTTAGCGTCGGTACCTGATGAAATTACTTACCTTTATTTTCTCTTTCTTTTCTTTATCTTTTTTCTCCGGTGTCTCCTTATCTTTCTTTTTCAATTCTTTTTTACTCGGCGACTTTACGTCGTTGTTCTCAAGGATAGCATTTTCGTTAATCAGATCGGAGTTGTTCAGATCATTATGATTCTCCTTCTCATTCTCATTTTGCTTATCCTTTTTCTTCTTAGATAGACCACCGGGCGGTAGGACTGCGATTCCTCCGACCGGTTTCTATAAGTAAATTTATAGTCACACATCGCTTCATGCAATAAGCACGAATAAAAACTCTATCGGCTAAGCTCTACTGTCAACTACACATTATTAAGGTCTGTTGGCATATCTTTCATGCTTGACAACTAAGTACGGTCTGCGCTCTCAAAAAAGTATATATATATATATTTATATATATATAAAGAGAGAGAG